AAAGAGGTACAACGTTCAGTTTCTCTTACAAATTATAATTTTATTGCTTATACTGTGATTTTCTGAAAATAGATACGCATTTGAGAAAAATAACAAACATGGGAATAACTTTTTTTGACGTTTGTTGAAAATTATAAATTTTTATCATGAAAATTTTGGTTCTTGACATCCTTTACGGTCGGTTACGATGCCTAGAGTACGGAGACCTGTACGATTTCGTCAACTTAGTGAGTTTGATAGGGGCCGTATAGTGGAACTTCGGGAAGCTGGACTTTCTTTTCGGGCAATTGCAGTTAGAGTGCAAAGAAGTTTAGACACTGTGGTTAGGTGTTGTCAGGCATGGCTTCGAGAAGGCCGTACGCAAAGAGCAAGGGGCACTGGACGCCGCCGTAGAACAACAGACCCTGAAGATCGCCGCCTAAGATTATTGGCCTTAAGGGACCGTTTCTCCACTACCAGGTCCATTGCAAATGAATGGTTTGCAGAACACGGAAGACCTATTGGCATGCGAAGTGTTTACCGACGAATGAGAAGTTTTGGCTTGATTTCATACCGGCCACACTGGGTCCTCCCTTTATCTCGAGAACACCGACGTAGTCGCCTTGAGTGGTGCAGACAACGGTCACTCTGGGATCAGGAATGGAACAGTATTGTCTTTAGTGACGAGTCTCGATTTTGTTTAGGCATGCATGATAGTCGTGCCAGGGTTGGAAGGCGACGTGGTGAAAGGAGGAATCCACAGTTTTTTGTTGAAAGACATGTTCATCACACTGTTGAAGTTATGGTTTGGGGTGCTATAGCTTATGGTTCCAGGTCACCTTTAATCTTCATGAGAGGTAACATGAACGCGCAGCGTTATATCCACGAAGTTCTAGAACCCCATCTTTTACCCTATCTTGACACCCTGGCAGATCCAACTTTCCAACAAGATAATGCCCGACCACATGTTGTAAGAGTCACAATAGACTTCTTTTAACATAATGATGTCACATTGTTACCATGGCCACCAAGATCTCCCGACTTATCCCCAATTGAGCACGTGTGGGATATGATGGGTAGGAGATTGCTCAATTTGCAACGTCCTCCTCAGACTCTAGAAGCACTTCGAGAGGAGTTGGTGGTTGCCTGGAATGAGATACCACAGGAGGACATTGACCACCTGATCAGAAGCATGCCTAGGCGGGTTGGAGAATGCGTATACTGTGATTTTCTGAAAATAGATACGCATTTGAGAAAAATAACAAACATGGGAATAACTTTTTTTGACGTTTGTTGAAAATGATATATTTTTATCATGAAAATTTTGTTATTGGTTTTAACCGAAATTTATATCAAAGCGCAGTATCTTCTTGGTTGGACTTAAAATATATAAAAACTATAGAAATATGTTATAATTTGTATCGATCCGAGACATAAGGCCCAGATAAGTCCTAGCCTCGAGCGGGCGCGGATCCAGGGGGGTGGGTCATGGGGGTCATGCACACATATCAAATGGATGCCGTACTGGTATTTTCTACTAAACACTGGTAGCACTGCATCCGTCAACTTTGATTTAACTGCAAGCTCATAGATAATAGCGCAAGACTGGTTGCCTATGCGGTCAGCTTCAAGTATGAAAATTTTTTTGAAGTAAATTAAACTTGATGATTCACCAGCAAACTTCTTGTGCATAATAGAGTTTAAAAGTTATCGCGGATGCTACCGATAAGTAAAGGGCGTCGAGGCAAATTTGGAGTGCACGCTTTTTATAGAATTTGCATAAAATTATGAGTAAGAAAAAAAACAAATATGATTGATAGTTGTTGTCATGTTCGCCGTGATTAATATTTCATTGAATACAAACTTAGTGAAGAACACTAAAATACGTTAAATAACGTGCATTACTACCGGATATACAGGGTGTCCCAGAAGTCGACGTCAAGCCGAAACCGGGTGATAGGCAAAGTCATAACAGCTATCAGAAAAATATTTAAAAAAATTTTATGTATGTGTTTTGAAAATTATAGGTCTTTGAAAAAGATATAGAATTTTCACACCCTACGGCAGTCTGTCAACTTCTGTTACTACAAATATTAACTTTTTTTGGATTTTATTTTTACAATGTAATGATGAATAATGCATCTTTAAACTGGTGTCTCAACCTTACTGCCAACTTTTCTCGTTCAGGAAAAATTGCCACTTATTTCCCAACCAAGTATTCCAAAGTAAAACTTTGCTCAACTTTAACTGGCTGTACTGGAAAAAATGTACTACGAGAGTTTGGCAAGTAACCTTAAAAGTTGGCGCATTTAATAACGATTCAAAAATGGTATAACACTTAGAAGATTACTCGTTAACTTATGAACAATTTTTATTTGAAAAAAAACTGATGAAAATTTTTCAAAATTTCCTAATTAAACAGCGATTATGAAAACGCACAAGGACCCTTAAGGATAACTGTTTGCACAACAGTGGGCGTCAGAATGCTGCTGATGATGATTTACCTTTACAGCAAATGCTCAAACTGTTTTCCTTCAGCCGCAATACACGCTCGACATCTTCTTAAAAAAGATCGGGTTATTAAACGAGCGAATCCACGGTTATTAACAAACTCAGCTGCTTCCAATAGTCTTTGCCGTAGCTCAGCTACATTTTGAATCGGCTTGAAATACACTTCTTCTTTTACAGTTCCACAGTAAAAAAATCTAAAGGATTCAAATCAGGTGATCGGGCTGGCCACGGTATTGTACCAGACCGCCTTATCCATCTGCCTGGAAAGTTTTGATGGAGATACTCTCTCACTGAGAGTGCATAGTGCGCTGGGCAGCCATCATGCTGAAACCACATGTCCCTGTAAATACTCAGTGGCACGTCCACCAATAAATTTTGTACATGATTTTTCAAAAAATCCAAATAAACTTCAGCAGTCAAAGTCTCTGGGAACTCAAACGGACCGATTATTTTACCATTTAAAATTCCTGTCCAATGGTTTATCTTGAAGCGATATTGAGATTTATCTTCTCTCATCAAATGTGGGTTTGCTACGTGCCACTCGTGTAAGTTATGCAGGTTCATGTACCCATCTTTCTTAAATGTGGTCTCATCCGACCATAAAATTTTTTCAAAGAACTGTGGATCTTTCCTGTGTCTTTCTAACATTGTGCGACAAAAAGCAACTCGGGCCTCATAATCCCGGGGCAGGAGAGGTTGAACACGCTGTATGTGGTATGGATGAAGCACATCACTTACTTGCTATTGCACACTTTGATACCGATCAGTACTCCTTCTTTTACTGTGCATCTTTACATGTTCGTGCTTGTTGATTTCGTACTGTTACTAATTTTGGATTCGTGAACTGGACTGTTGATCGCTTGTCATTTGGATTTGGACTGTTTAATTGCTCTTCAAAACAACATTTGCTTTCTTTAGACTATCTTTGATAGTGTGATTGTGCAGTGCCGCTATGTCCGTGTACACCGTACAAGAATATGCTAACATGCACCTCATTTATGGGGAATGCAGATGCAACGCTAGTGTTGCAGCGAGACTTTACTGTGAGAGGTTCCCTAATGCAGCTCGTCATCCAGATCATCGAGTGTTCACAAATGTGCACCGCTTACTGTTCTCAGAGGGCCAACTACCAAACCAATCACACGGTGAGGGAAGATCTTTCCTTCCTTACGAAGACGTGGTGCTAGGAGCTGTCGAAGAAGACCCGAGTACTTCAGTGCGTGCAATGGAACTAAAAACAGGTGTGCCCAAAAGTACAGCCCATAGAATCTTGCAAAAAAACGTGCTCCATCCATACCACGTACAGCCTGTTCAAGCTCTTCTGCCCCGGGATTATGAGCCCCGAGTTGCTTTTTGTCGCACAATGTTAGAAAGACACAGGGAAGATCCACGGTTCTTTGAAAAAATTTTATGGTCAGATGAGACCACATTTAAGAAAGATGGGTATATGAACCTGCATAACTTACACGAGTGGCACGTAGCAAACCCACATTTGATGAGAGAAGATAAATCTCAATATCGCTTCAAGATAAACCATTGGACAGGAATTTTAAATGGTAAAATAATCGGTCCGTTTGAGTTCCCAGAGACTTTGACTGCTGAGGTTTATTTAGGTTTTTGCAAAATCATTTAGAAAATTTATTGGAGGACGTGCCACTGAGTATTTACAGGGACATGTGGTTTCAGCATGGTGGCTACCCAGCGCACTATGCACTCTCAGTGAGAGAGTATCTCGATCAAAACTTTCCAGGCAGATGGATGGGCGGTCTGGTACAATACCGTGGCCAGCCCGGTCACCAGATTTGAATCCGTTCGATTTTTTTTACTGGGGAACTGTAAAAGAAAAAGTGTATTTCAAGCCGATTCAAAATGTAGCTGAGCTACGGCAAAGACTATTGGAAGCAGCTGAGTTTGTTAATAACCGTGGATTCGCTCGTTTAATAACCCGATCTTTTTTAAGAAGATGTCGAGCGTGTATTGCGGCTGAAGGAAAACAGTTTGAGCATTTGCTGTAAAGGTAAATCATCATCAGCAGCATTTTGACGCCCATTGCTGTGCAAACAGTTATCCTTAAGGGTCCTTGTGCGTTTTCATAATCGCTGTTTAATTAGGAAATTTTGAAAAATTTTCATCAGTTTTTTTTCAAATAAAAATTGTGCATAAGTTAACGAGTAATCTTCTAAGTGATATACCATTTTGGAATCGTTATTAAATGCGCCAACTTTTAAGGTTACTTGCCAAACTCTCGTAGTACATTTTTTTCCAGTACAGCCAGTTAAAGTTGAGCAAAGTTTTACTTTGGAATACTTGGTTGGGAAATAAGTGGCAATTTTTCCTGAACGAGAAAAGTTGGCAGTAAGGTTCATTACATTGTAAAAATAAAATCCAAAAAAAGTTAATATTTGTAGTAACAGGAGTTGACAGACTGCCGTAGGGTGTGAAATTTCTATATCTTTTTCAAAGACCTATTATTTTCAAAACACATAGATAAAAATTTTTTAAATATTTTTCTGATAGCTGTTATGACTTTGCCTATCACCCGGTTTCGGCTTGACGTCGACTTCTGGGACACCCTTTAGATAAATTCTGGAAATGAGCTTATGAATTGACTGTTTACCATCAATCAACTTTTCCCGTGTTCTGTCGTTCTCTCGATGTATGTATTGTTCACCATAATCTACACTTCAAATATTTTAAATATTGTATAAATGTCTGTTAAGGCGGTTAAGCGAAGGATTAGCTGCACGTTCCATTTTTTTCAAATCGATAAGGTTTATGAAAGTAATCTAAAGCACCTTTTGTTCCTAGATTTATGTGGGTTGTAATGAAATTTAACGAAGTTCAAATGTGATTTTATTACACTGTCGCCCACAATTTCGCTGCACGAAAATTCACTGCGGTCGAAAAAGTCAAACCGTTTTTAACTTAGTACTCCACAGAGCGAGGATAGTTATTAACTTGACTAGGTATATGAACGAATGTGATATTTTAATAGGTGGGACAACTTTATGTTTACTACATTTCTTCCGAAGTCCAGAAAACGAAGTCACATAAACGTAAGTAACGTCCGAAACGTTTAAAGACGGTTTTTTTACTGTGCTCCAGCTAAAAAAATGTATAAACCTTATGGTGTTAGCAATAAAATAAAATCATTTAAAATCTAGAACAAAAATTAGTGACTATCTTTTATTTATCAGCTTTATTCAAAAATTTTCAAAGATCGGGTTATACAGGGTGTTTCAGTTTATTGTTGCATAACTTTAAGATTCGATAGAACTTTTAAAATTAACGCATAAAGTCTATATAAACATGGGTCGAAAAATGCGTGGCTTCCGAAATACAGGTTTAAATTTACTTTCTAAAATAGTTTTTTTTAAATATTTCGAACAATATTTGATGTATAACAGTGAAAATTGGTATACAAGGGTTTTTTGGTACGACAAAACGAACCATGGGCATAGTTTTACTGTAGCCGCTAGAGGGCGCTCTCTACTGTACCTGTAGTGTATTAAAATGACCGAAAAATTTTTCTTACTGCAATTTTTTGCTTTTTGAATGAAAAAACTGATTCTTCGCACTTTTCAACATAAAAAAGCTCTCTTGTGAATTTTCGTTATAGTTAGCCGTTTTTGAGATATTTCGATTTTTAAGGTTCGATGCATTTTTAATTATTTATGATAAAATAAAGTTAAAAAGTCAGTATCTCCATAATTTTTAGAAGTAGGCTGTGCCTGCAAATATTTTTGAAATTGAAAGCAGAATAAGGTTAAACGTCAGTTAGTTTTGTTGTCTGTTGAAACCTGAAACGTTTTTTTGCAATTGTGAATGCACGAAATTTAGTTTCTTTCACCTGTTTTTTTTTTTGTAAGTTTTATAAAAATGCGATTTTCATTCTCCAATCAAGAGTTAGCGGATATTCATTTTGTGTGTGGCTTTGTAAATGGAAACGCAGCAGAAGCAGCCAGAGAATACGCACGAAGATTTCCAAACAGACGACATCCAACTCGCTCAGTATTTGTAAGAGTGCATCGCCAAATAATTGAAAATGGTTTTGGAAATCTACAAAGGGATCAAAACATAAATTTTCGTCAGCGCAGATTTACCCGTATGATTCTGCGTGAGTTTGATAGAGATCCGACGACAAGTGTTAGGAGAGTTTCTGGTGCATTGGGAATTTCAGCAAGCCATGTTCACCGTGTTCTTAGAAATGACCATAGACGTCCTTACCTTTTGCAACCTGTACAAGGACTACAGCCAGGGGACGGAGAACGAAGAATCACATTTGGTCAGTGGATTCTCGATAGAACTGATAATAATAGGGAGTTTTTAAGTAACCGATGAGTCATGCTTCACTAGACGTGGAGTGGTAAATTTTCATAATCAACATATTTGGTCGCATGAAAATCCGCATGCAGTTCGGGAAAGAAATTTTCAACATGAATTTAGTGTGAACGTGTGGATTGGTATCTACCGTAATCGACTATTTGGACCCTACCTTTTGCCTGCAAGGTTAAATGCTGCGACTTTCTTGGAATTTTTGAAAGCTGAACATGCAAATATGTGGGATGATGTTATGTTAGATTTAAGAAGATTGACCTGGTTCCAGCTTGATGGTTGTCCAGCTCATTATTCGAGAATAGTTAGAAACTGGCTGGACGAAAATTATCCAGAAAGATGGATCGGCCATGGAGGACCAGTCGCCTGGCCTCCACGATCTCCTGACCTAAATCCATTAGATTTCTTTGTGTGAGGATTTCTAAAAGAAAAAGTGTACCAGACTCCCGTAACCACAAGAGATATGCTAATAGACAGAATCAGGAATGCATGTGATGAAATAAGGCCTTATTTGAATAATGCTATAACACGTTCGATCATTCGTAGATGTGAATTGTGTATTGAACAATTGGGTTTACATTTCGAGCAACTACTTTAGATTTTGTATGTTTGTCCTAACTATCCAATAGCATTTTAGTTGTAAATAATTAATTTAATTTGTTAAAAATGATATTGGAAAATTAAACAAATTAATATTCTGTTTTTTTTGTGTTTATTTGTAGTTAGGAATTATCGCTGTGTTTAAAAACATAATCTAAACGATCATCTTAATTACTTGTAATGCCCAAATCGAAAATGTAAAAAAAAATACGATTTTCCCATAAATAAGTAAAAATGCATCGAACCTTAAAAATCGAAATATCTCAAAAACGGCTAACTATAATGAAAACTCACAGGAGAGCTTTTTTATGCAGAAAAGTGCGAAGAATCAGTTTTGTTATTCAAAAAGCAAAAAATTGCACTAAGAAAAAATTTTCGGTCATTTTAATATACAGTACAGTAGAGAGCGCCCTCTAGCGGCTACAGTAAAACTATGCCCATGGTTCGTTTTGTCGTACCAAAAAACCCTTGTATACCAATTTTCTCTGTTATACATCAAATATTGTTCGAAATATTTTAAAAAAAACTATTTTAGAAAGTAAATTTAAACACCCTGTATTTCGGAAGCCACGCATTTTTCAACCCATGTTTATATAGACTTTATGCATTAATTTTAAAAGTTCTATCGAATCTCAAAGTTATGCAACAATAAACTGAAACACCCTGCATTTATTTCTCTCTCGATCTGATGAACAAACATTTATAATTTATTGTAACAAGTTTTAGTGTAAAAAGTTCTGAATGTAGTGTATTTACTGTTGCTTAGGACATTTTAATTCAAGCAACGCGTCTAGATTTTTCGTCTAATGGATTGATGGCATCGTGTATTTAACTATAAAATGTACTAATTTTAATTCGAATATTTTTCCTTGTTGCAGTTCGAAAGACGATGAAATAGACAACAATTGCGTAGTGAGAGCGAGAGGATTACCTTGGCAGAGCAGTGATCAAGATATTGCCAAATTTTTTATTGGTTTGAATGTCGCAAAGTAAGTATATGATAAAAATTGAATAGCACATTTTGCATGCGTTGACGTATAAAGAATTTTTAGTTGCGCATGGAGTCTCGAACTGTATTATTTTATTTGTCCGATAGCGCGTTATTCATGAATTTTGAAAATCTGTCATAATAATGATGTTCAAAATAATATCCAAATAATAACCTAATGTTCAATCCCGTATATACACACTGATTAGGTTGGTGTATCCTTTTTCGTGCAAAGTTATTTCAGAGAAAAAATTCCTACCTGCCATACCACATATCTGAGGATTATCATAAGAAAGTAAATAATTCTCTGGAAGTAAATATTTATGTTTTGGTAGTCGGGTCTACAAATTTTAGTCCGGGACCGCTGTATCAAAAATGTCCAACCATCAGGTAAGGTTGTGCCTTTGATATTTCGTATCTCCTATTTTGGTCTCGAAGTTCTTTGTGAATTCAAATCTGGGAGCCACGTGGTCTTGCCTCCCATCTAGTATGTCACTTCCCACATGTTTCATTATTTGATTATATGCAAGGTAACTCATATCATCCCTGTCATCCTGATAACATTCGCAGAGCGACGAATCTTGTTCATGAAGTAAGAAATGCTCTCCATGAATTCAGCAATGAGAAATGGAACGACTTTCTGGCGGGGATGCTTGACTCAAGTACTCCTCTGTGGAAAGTGGCGAAGTCGCTCAGAAACGGAAAGCGAGAACAACTCCCGCACACCTGCGGTCCTGGGGGCATACTCTTCAGGACAGAGGACAAGGTCGAGGTTTTCGCTGATGCTATGGAACGACAGTTCTCTCCCAACTATGATCTTGATAATGATCTCGACGAGGAGCAACAAATCTTAAGATACGTCAGGAGATATACTAAGTGACATATAAATCCGAACACCCAGTTTAAATGGTTTTATTTTAATAAAAGACTACTCCTATATTCCACTATCAGGCCGACAATGTTTCCTTTCTAGACCACCGCGTGCGCGGCGATCGATTTAGTTCCCCCCGCTATGCTCTTCGCTCCTGACAAATGTTCCACAAACCAGGGGTGAGTTTGAGATGACGCATTATGCGTCAAACACCCGAAGCTGAGGGGGCCTCAGAATGAGGTTCCAGCGGCCCTACAGAAGAGAAAAGTTGTTTTGATAATCGTGACACTCTTGACTTCCCCCGTTCGTTAATTATCACCAGCAGCACAGTAGTAGTTCGAAATTTGCTGACACAGGGCATTTTCAGCCGCTGGGCTCGGGCCCCAGTGGTGTTGATTTGCCACTGCCAGGCAATTCACTACGTATTCTGCTTGGAACATAACACCTGATATTTTTACTAGTGAATGAGCTTATATATACTAAGTGACATATAAATCCGAACACCCAGTTTAAATGGTTTTATTTTAATAAAATTTTGTATAAGTACTTAATGAAGCATAATAAGTAACTGCTTTAAAGCCCTTTGACCTTTAATAATGTGTGGATGCACCCTGATGTGCTACGCATTCTCCAACGCGCCTAGGCATGCTTCTGATCAGGTGGTCAATGTCCTCCTGTGATATCTCATTCCAGGCAACCACTTACTCCTCTCGAAGTGCTTCTAGAGTCTGAGGAGGACGTTGCAAATTGAGCAATCTCCTACCCATCATATCCCACACGTGCTCAATTGGGGATAAGTCGGGAGATATTGGTGGCCATGGTAACAATGTGACATCATTATGTTGAAAGAAGTCTATTGTGACTCTTGCAACATGTGGTCGGGCATTATCTTGTTGGAAAGTTGGATCTGCCAGGGTGTCAAGATAGGGTAAAAGATGGGGTTCTAGAACTTCGTGGATATAACGCTGCGCGTTCATGTTACCTCTTATGAAGATTAAAGGTGACCATAGCACCCCAAACCATAACTCCAACAGTGTGATGAACATGCCTTTCAACAAAAAACTGTGGATTCCTCCTTTCACCACGTCGCCTTCTAACCCTGGCACGACCATCGTGCATGCCTAAACAAAATCGAGACTCGTCACTAAAGACAATACTGTTCCATTCCTGATCCCAGAGTGACCGTTGTTTGCACCACTCAAGGCGATTACGTCGGTGTTCTCGAGTTAAAGGGAGGACCCAGTGTGGCCGGTATGAAAACAAGCCAAAACTTCTCATTCGTCGGTAAACACTTCGCATGCCAATAGGTCTTCCGTGTTCTGCAAACCATTCATTTGCAATGGACCTGGTAGTGGAGAAACGGTCCCTTAAGGCCAATAATCTTAGGCGGCGATCTTCACGGTCTGTTGTTCTACGGCGGCGTCCAGTGCCCCTTGCTCTTTGCGTACGGCCTTCTCGAAGCCATGCCTGACAACACCTAACCACAGTGTCCACACTTCTTTGCACTCTAACTGCAATTGCCCGAAAAGAAAGTCCAGTCCAGTATATTTTACGGCCAACGGCGTCAGTGATCCCGGCGCCGCCATTAATGTTTCTTCCTCAGAAGATTCTTTTTCGGAAGATTCTTCAGCTGAAAAGTTGCACAGCACATCAGCGGCTTCTCCCGCGATCCCGCATGGCACACCAGCAGAGCTTCAAGGTCATATTAAAGACCCCAAGGTGCGTAAGGCGCCTGGGGAGGATCAAATCACTAATAAGGCGCTGAAGCTACACTTTCACGGAAGTCCTTAACTTATCTCGTGGCTGTTATCAATGCCATGCTAAGGACCCAGTACTTTCCATCGGCGTGGAAGACTGCGGAAATTATAACGATTCCAAAGAAGGTGGGTTCAATATTTCCACAGGACTATCGTCCCATCAGCCTACTGTCTGCTCCGTATAAGCTCGCTGAGAAGATGATTCTACGTCACCTTGCTAATTTCTCGGCAGATCACTGTCGCGCAATTTGGATTTCGGTCTGAAAATAGTACGGAGTTACAGGCGGTTAGGCTTGTGGAGCGAGTAACCAGGGGCTTCACCATTAACGAAAGTACTGGCATCTTGCTTCTGGATGTCTCGAAGTCATTTGACAAGGTGTGGCACAAGGACCTTCTCCATAAACTAATTCAAAAGGGCTTTCCAATTTGGCTCCTAAAACTTTTGAAATCCTTCCTTGAAGACAGGAAATTTCGGATCAAATTTAATAATTGCGGCCCATCAGAGCCGGCGTCCCTCAGCGTTCGGTTCTAGGGCCAATCCTTTACTCACTTTTCACGCATGATGTGCCTTGCCCTAGCGACTGTGAAGTCTATCTATATGCTGATGACACTGCACTGGTGCCCCAGTCGCGTACCGGGAATCTGGTTACAAAGTGCGGTGGATGAGGTATTGGAATGGGTAGATCGGTGGCTAATCAAAATTAATTACTCGAAAACGCATGCTATCTATTGTACTAAAAAACGTAGCGGCGCGCCGCCTGAGGTTTCAGTGAATGGAGCTCGCATACGATGGGGAAATTCGATGTCACTCTTGACAGGGGGATGACCTGGCAGAATCACACTGAAGCGTTAAAAACTAAATTCCAAATTACGTTTCGGCAACTCTACCCTTTACTATGTAGAACCTCAAAATTAAGTTTGGTTCACAGAGTTCGGCTATACAAGATGGTTATCAGACCAGCAATCACTTGCGCTTGTGCAGCATGGTGTTTTCTTGCCAAAACGCATACGCGTAATCTGCAGGTTTTGCAGAACAGAACCTTGCGTACAATCACTAACGCCCCATGGAATGTTTCCAACGAGACCCTTCACAGAGACCTCGACATCCCTTACCTAAGGGACTACATCAAACATCAGACACAGTTACGTTATAGTCAAGCGGAATCGCACAGCAACCCTCTGTTGCGTGAGTCAGTAGACTACACAGTCGAGCAAGTTCGCAAGCACACAAGACCGCGGCTCGCACTGTGATCAAAATGAAATCGTGCAATTCTAGATCCAACCAAAATCACGATTTTTGCCACACACAACTTCCTAAATTAATTTTTGGGTTCATTTAAAATAACCGAATACCAGTTAACAATAGCAAGACATCCCTTTAACCGGCGCAGTTCACCCTATTTGCTCTTCCTCCTTCCTTCATTTCTTTCTTCTTCCTTTCTCCCTGGGCAACCAGACCTGACAGACGTTAACAAAGAGCGAAGGTCCCACGGACCGCTCTGACGGATAGTGACGAATAGAGGTCATCCCTTAGGGTCTTAGGCTGTAGCTGTAGCCTGGAGTAGTGCATTAACGTCTTTGTCCATAATCCTTCTACAGGTGCTTCTATTTCAACAACATCACGTTTTTTCTTAATTCAGGTGAAAATGGAATGGATGGAATGCTTAGATTTGTGAAATAATCAGAAATTACTGATTTGTGTCATATTAGCAAATTTCCCCGACAAAATTGTAAAGACTGGTTTTATTGGTGCAAGTTGTTCAAGGGGATGTTTAAAACATGGTCGCATAAAATGAGTACACCAATTTTTGTGGGAAAAGTTTTTGTTTGACAACAAAGAATGAGAAGTCGTGTTTTTTTTGGATTCAATTGAAAGTGTTGATTGTTTGTGTTAATATTTATTAGCATAACCATTATTATCAATCACCGCCTAGCATCGTCTCGGCATAGATTGTAGAAGTTTCTTGACATAAGATTCATCAATCTGTCTCCACTTTTGCTCTAAAGCGGCAAAAAGTTCCTCCTTGTTTGAATAATTTTTATCTCGTATTTGCTTATCTAAGTATTCCCACAGATTTAAAATGGGGTTTATATCGGGAGACTGTGAAGGCCATTTGAGAACTGGTATTTTTTCATCCAGAAAGAATTTCTTTGCGAGATTTGAAGTGTGCTTCGGGTCATTATCTTGCTGGAAGATTGATCTTAAGGGCAAATTGTCTTTCATATAGGGTAACATGCTTTTGTATATCTGTGTATACAAACTTATCCATAATGCCATCTATTCTATGTAATGGTCCATCCCAAACCCCGAAAAGCACCCCCAAACCATAACAGACCCGCCTCCATGTTTGACAGTGGGCAAACTGTACTTGGGGTTCAATATTCCTCTTCTGACACGAAACTGTACTAAACTCATGTTGAAAAGAATTTGTCTACATATTTTTTTCCCACATAAAAAAGTGCTTATATTCAGATTTGTATTCTGTTCATTGCAGATAATGTAAAAACAAGGAATTTAGTTTTTCTACTAATAACGAATTTGTTTATGGAGCAATGAAGTATGAATTCGTTTTCTAAAGGTATTTAGGTACATATTCATATTTGTCTATATATTTTTGTCCATTACTGTAAATAACAGTAAAAATGCCCATTGAATAACTTCAAAATTTAATCAATACCAAATTTTCACAATATCAGGTATGCGGTTCTTAGACATTCGGAAAAGTCTAAACAAAAGTATTTGTCGGAAATATATGACGAGCCCTACTTTTTTCCCCCGCGTCTCGTCACACGCCAGTAGCCTGCTGGATCTCTTTCTGACCACGCATCCTGCCCCTTACAGCACTGCTGTCCTGTTCCCCCTGGGTAACTCAGATCACGGTGTTGTGGAGGTTAGGTTTCGGTCCGAAGCCGCTGTGGCAGCAGAAACTCGCACAGGCCGCAAAACTTGGCATTACGGACATGCCGACTGGGAGGGGCTCAGAGACTTCTTCTCTAGCTTTCCTTGGAGAGATGTCTGTTTCACTGACGCGGATGCGTCGACTGTCTGTTCTTCAATAACCGAAATTATCCACGTCGGAATGGAGGAATACATCCCTCACACAGTGAAAGTTCCTAAACCAGGGTCCAACGGCTGGTTCAACAAATCGTGTGATACTGCTCGCCAGCAGAAGATCAAGGCCCACAGAACCTACTTACAAAACCCCACTGTAGAGAGCAGACAAGCCGACGTCGAGTCCAGAAACAAATATAACGAAGCGGTTCGCAATGCCAAAAACCAGCATGATAAAGTTAGGCACAGGGTAATGTCGCAGCGCAATGGCAGTCGGTCTTTCTGGACGCTGGACAAGCAGATTGAAAAGAACTTCTCACACAGTAGCCTTCCACCACTTACGTGTCAGGATGGAACTATTGTATTCGACTCAAAGGCCAAGGCGGAAGTGCTAGCCAAGATCTTTGCTGCCAACTCCACCATGGACGTCCCCACCAACGCCCAAGTGCCGTCAATTCAAAGGGTTCCCCACACTATGCGGGAGGTAACATTCAGGCATAAGACCGTAAGACGAGTGCTCTTGTCGCTCGACATCAACAAAGCTTCTGGTCCGGACTTGATTCCTTCCATTGTACTGAAGAGATGTGCAGCGGAGCTTGCTCCAGTTCTTTCGCGTCTCTTCCGGATATCTTATGAATCCGGCACCTTCCCAGAAAACTGGAAATTTGCTCATGTACAGCCCATCCCAAAAAAAGGATCTAAAACCGACCCTTGCAACTACAGGCCTATAGCTCTGCTTTCTGTTATAAGTAAAGTGATGGAGAGGTGCATAAATCGCGAGCTTCTGGACTACCTCGAACGTCACAGCTTGATTAGCGACAGGCAGTACGATTTCCGGCACCAACGATCCACAGGGGACCTCCTAGCTTACGTCACGCAACTGTGGAGTAAACTCATCCAGTCTCATGGTGAGGCTCATGTCGTTGCTCTTGACATCACGAAAGCGTTCGATCAGCTGTGGCACGCTGCCCTCTTAAGCAAACTTCCATCCTACGGCCTCCCAGAAAAACTTTGCAGATGGGTGGCTGACTTTATCTCTGGCCGCAAGATATCCGTCGTAATTGACGGATTCTCCTCTTCATCCCACAACGTCAACGCGGGTGTTCCCCAGGGATCGGTCTTGGCTCCAACACTGTTTCTCTTACATATCAACGACCTCCTTTCCTGCACGATCAACCCAATCCACAGCTTCGCTGATGACAGCACTCTACATGCAGGAATTCAGAGTGACAAGCCGATCTCTGCTGCTGAGCTGGAAAAAAGAAGACTAGCGACGACTTCTTCTCTGACAAGAGACCTGGAGGCTGTCACTGCTTGGGGACGCAACAATCTTGTACAGTTCAATGCTTCCAAAACACAGTACTGTACTTTGACGAACAAAAAGCGTCCTAGCGCTCATACAGTTTCGATGGACGGTCGAGTTCTACCAAAGAGCCATTCATTTCGGCTGGTCGGAGTCCAGATCACCGAGGACCTGATCTGGCACGAACACATCTCTTCAATAGCTGCAGCTGCTGGGAAAAAGCTAGGCTATTTGTTTAGGGCTAAGAAGTACTTTTCTCCGCATGACCTTCTCACTCTATACAAGGCCCAGATAAGGCCTAGCCTCGAGTATTGCTCACACATTTGGGGTGCTGCCGCCCCGACTACATTGTCCATGCTCGATGCTGTCCAGAGGAGGGCGGTCCGACTGATCGATGACTCTTCCCTAACAGACAGTCTCGGGACTCTTTCGCACCGGCGGGCCGTCGGCGATCTAGCTCTTTTCTATCGCTACACCAACGGGCTTTGCTCCTCAGAGCTCTCTTCCATGATGCCGCCGCGCGATGTGCCTGCCAGACAGACCCGCCTGACCTCGGCGTCCCATCCTAACCGTGTCAAACTTCGTACATCCAGAACTGGCCGATACGACCGCTCCTTTGTCCCGAGGGTGTCTAGATTGTGGAACAATCTACGGGAGGAAGCTTTTCCCAGTTCTACTAACCTTAGGCAGTTCAAAAATCGTATTAACAAAATTTCTTTGCGATCATCATAGCAGCCGCGGTGTTCCGGCATTTAGGCTTCTGCCTGCGCGGCTGTTTCGATATAAAAAAAAAAAAAAAAAAAAAAAAACAAGCACGAACATGTAAAGATGCGCAGTAAACGAAGGAGTACTGATCGGTATCAAAGTGTTCAATAGCAAGTAAGTGATGTGCTTCATCCATACCACATACAGCGTGTTCAACCTCTCCTGCCCCGGGATTATGAGCCCCGAGTTGCTTTTTGTCGCACAATGTTAGAAAGACACAGGAAAGATCCACAGTTCCTTGAAAAAATTTTATGGTCGGATGAGACCACATTTAAGAAAGAAGGGTACATGAACCTGCATAACTTACACGAGTAGCACGTAGGAATTTTAAATGGTAAAATAATCGGTCCGTTTGAGTTCCCAGAGACTTTGACTGCTGAAGTTTATTTGGATTTTTTGAAAAATCATGTACAAAATTTATTGGTGGACGTGCCACTGAGTATTTACAGGGACATGTGGTTTCAGCATGATGGCTGCCCAGCGCACTATGCACTCTCAGTGAGAGAGTATCTCGATCAAAACTTTCCAAGCAGATGGATAAGGCGGTCTGGTACAATACCGTGGCCAGCCCGATCACCTGATTTGAATCCTTTAGATTTTTTTACTGGGGAACTGTAAAAGAAAAAGTGTATTTCAAGCCGATTCAAAATGTAGCAGAGCTACGGCCAAGACTGTTGGAAGCAGCTGAGTTTGTTAATAACCGTGGATTCGCTCGTTTAATAACCCGATCTTTTTTAAGAAGATGTCGAGCGTGTATTGCGGCTGAAGGAAAACAGTTTGAGCATTTGCTGTAAAGGTAAATCATCATCAGCAGCATTTTGACGCCCACTGTTGTGCAAACAGTTATCCTTAAGGGTCCTTGTGCGTTTTCATAATCGCTGTTTAATTAGAAAATTTTGAAAAATTTTCATCAGTTTTTTTTCAAATAAAAATTGTGCATAAGTTAACGAGTAATCTTCTAAGTGTTATACCATTTTGGAATCGTTATTAAATGCGCCAACTTTTAAGGTTACTTGCCAAACTCTCGTAGTACATTTTTTTCCAGTACAGCCAGTTAAAGTTGAGCAAAGTTTTACTTTGGAATACTTGGTTGGGAAATAAGTGGCAATTTTTCCTGAACGAGAAAAGTTGGCAGTAAGGTTGAGACACCAGTTTGAAGATGCATTATTCATCATTACATTGTAAAAATAAAATCCAAAAAAAGTTAATATTTGTAGTAACAGGAGTTGACAGACTGCCGTAGGGTGTGAAATTTCTATATCTTTTTCAAAGACCTATAATTTTCAAAACACATACATAAAATTTTTTTAAATATTTTTCTGATAGCTGTTATGACTTTGCCTATCACCCGGTTTCGGCTTGACGTCGACTTCTGGGACACCCTGTATATCACGGTGTCAGGAACATAAATGACAATGAATTTATATTATGACTTTGCGAAGTTAGGTTATTAAACTGATTATTTTTATTTTCATTTTATTTCATGGATTTAAGTGATACCTTAATAATAACTTTTGTGGGGGTTTTTGTTTTGAAAAAAACAAAAGTATTTGAAACTTAATAAAAAATATTCACAAATCGCTGTCGTTTGTCTTTACTACAGACTAAAATGATGACGTAATCGTCATCTTTCGTGATTTCGACTATATCTAGTTTGATATGCAGAGGTCGAAGATTCACCGCCCGTAAGCGAACTTACCTAATCACGATTCGATTTCTTTTTTTGAAACGATCCATTTTCTTTGAAATCTCCAATTAAGACGTAGGAAGTATCGAGTCAATCTACTTGACGTCATTTTTTTGAGGTACTTCTTTCTAGTTGTTACTCCAAAGGATCCAATATCTCATACATTCTTTTTTGAGACATTTTAAATAACGTGTACCTATTTAATAATAACGTTTTTTTTCCTTTCAGAGGCGGCGTGGCGTTGTGCCTAAGTGCCCAAGGAAGGCGGAACGGTGAGGCTCTAGTACGTTTCTGCAGCCAGGAGCATCGCGACATGGCTCTGAAAAGGCACAAGCACCACATCAACCATCGGTACATCGAGGTGTACCGAGCGACGGGCGATGACTTCCTGTCAGTAGCAGGGGGCGCCAGCTGCGAAGCGAGGGCGTTCTTGTCAAGAGGGGCTGCTGTCATCGTCAGGATGAGGGGTTTGCCGTACGACTGTACTGCTAAACAAGTGGTGGGTACAGAATAATAATAAGCTTTAATAAGGATGCGAGGTCTGTCTGTAAAATGAGTATGAAACTGACTTTTTGTTTATTCAAATATAATTACATTTTATATTCTCTCCTTCAAAATAACAACCTGGAGTGATACAGCGCTGGAGACAGTTCTACCACTGCTCATAGCAGAAGAAGTGATTTTTCAACTTGGGAAGGGAAAAAAGTTACGAGGACTCAAGTCAGACGAATGAGTAGGCTGGGGAGCCTCAGGAGTGTTTTACTGGCCCGAAACTGGTTTATTGACATTGCTGTGTGACAAGGCCCAGTTTTTCTTGATGTTTGGTCTCACACGCAGTTCTTCGAGATGGAAAGAAAAAATATTACAATGCCAAAATTGAGGAGATGAGCAATAAATGTTCTGCCAGATGTTGATAAAGTCTTTGAAGGAATTATTTACAAACAGATCGTCGAATTTTTTGAGGGAAATAACATTCTAACCTAATTTCAAGCTGTTTTTGGGCATTTAAGACTATTGACAGGGATAAATTACTTACAGAATTGCATCACTACGGATTGAAAGGATCTGTATTCAAAATTCAACAAAACTATTTAATTGGCAGAAGTCAAAAAACCAAAATTGGATCTACATTATCAAGCTCAAAAAATATTTCTGTTGGCATACCACAAGGTAGTAAACTAGGTCCACTACTATTTATTCTATACATTAATGACATTTGTAATATTTTAGATTATTTTAAAATTTGAAGATGATACATTAATATGTACATATCAGATACAAATATAGACACAACATACATATTATAGTAGTTACCATTTTATTGTTAAAACTTGAAGAGAAAATAGTGAGAGAGGGTTTTATTGTAGAAATGATCAAGCTAAGTAGAAGAATATCTTTGAAAAATACCAGAAGCGAAGCAATTTTTTTATGAAAAATATTTCATGGTATGTTTGCAAGCGCGCCGTGCAATAAAATAACTATTTACACTAAAATATGTCACTCTATATCCTCTTATAACATGCTCAAAAGAAAAATAATATTTGAACTACTTTCAGACTACTACAGATATAAAATAAACACATTTTTTTCTTAAAAATTTAACAGCCTGGAAAGCTAAAATTTCAAAACATTTCAGATATATTCCTATGAATTGTTCTCCATAAAAGTATTTCAGGAATCATACACAGTATTAGAACATGCATACAAAATGTACTTCAACTATTTTTTATTTTCAATGACATTTGTAATATTTTTGATTATTACAAAATTCAAATATTTGTAGATGATACATTAATACACATATCAGATGGAAATATAAACACTGCTTTAAAAATGCTAAATTCTGACTTGGCAGAATCATAAATTGGTTAAATGTAAATAAACTAAAATTGAATACTTCTAAAACAAAGTGTATGCTAATAGGGAAATACTTGAATGAAAATATTATCACGGTTAGGATAAATGGTGAAATAACTGAAGATGTTGAATCAATTAAATATTTAGGTACATATATTGATAGTAAACTAAAGTTTGAGGATCACTATGAATTCATTATTTCAAAAATTGCCAAAAAAACAAATTACTTTTATAGGGCTTCTCATAGTCTTGGTACCTATTCCAAGAGAATAGTTTATAATACAATTATTCTACCGCATTTACTATATTGTTCAACTATCTTGTTCACTGCCAATGAAGCTGTAGTCTCAAAATTACAAGTCTTGCACAATAAAGCTATGAGAATAATATTGAATAAAAATAAATAGACCAAAATAAAATCTATGTTACAAGAATTGCAGTGGTTGAATATAAAAAAATTCATATCATATTTGGTTCTTATTTTTATATGTAAAATAAAAAATCATCTTTTGCCAGAGCATTTAGAATACTACATAGAATTGAATAATCATTACCAGAATTATTATACAAGAGGAAGTATAGATCTTCATTTACAAAATTGCAATAGTAATATAACTAGCAAATTAAATAAATTAAATAATGATATAAAGTCTACTTGTAATTTAAAGATATTTAAAAGAAAATTAAAGTAATATTTCATGGAAAATGAAAATTCTTAGAGATGCAATTTTTTTTCTGAATGTCTCTAATGTAATTGTTTAGTTCTTTAGAAGAATGTACTTGTAGCAATCATGCTAAATGAATCTCCTGTTGTATAAATTAGATGCTAGATATGAAAAGGCATTTTTAAAAGCTGTTGTTTTGTGTTTAGGGGTCATTTTCAATAGAGTCCAAAAAGTCAAGACACCTTTCCTTCCTGATGTTCTCTTTTGTCTTGAGAGAGGTTTTCTGGAACCATTTTTGCGTAGATTTTTCCCGGTCGTGTGACTCTTCCCCGACCATTTTGACTGTCAATCAACGATTTGAACGCACAAGATCCCTGATTCTGTCTATATTTTAATCGGGTCTTGAAGATGAAGGCCATCCGCGGGTTCATCTTCAATCGACTCTCTCTTTTCGGAAAATACCTTAAACCACCGAAAAACCTCTTCTCTTGACAAAACACTATTTCCGTAGACCCGTTGAAGTTCAGCAAGAAAAGCTGTTTCACAAAAAAAATCGCTGTCCAAATGACTCGAGCGAGTTCGAACTTGTACTGAAACGGATCACATGTTCCCTTCTAAGCCCGGAGCATCCAGCCAGATCGAACGCTACGTTGCCAGTGTCACCCACTTAATTTACAGACCTCTCAAGTTACAGGAGTTACATTACACTTAATTTTTTTCAGCTGGACTTTTTCTCGTCCGGTGAGAATCCTTGCCAAGTGATGGACGGTGTGGATGGAGTCCTGTTCGTACGGAAACCAGACGGCAGGGCCACCGGAGATGCTTTCGTACTGTTCGCCGAAGAATCAGATGCACCAAGAGCGCTGACGAAGCATCGGGAATGCATAGGCTCCAGGTATATAGAACTCTTCAGGAGCACTACTGCCGAAGTACAACAGGTAATATTTTTAGTTGCATAGAAATTGTCTTTTTTAAATTCACTATTCAATCATTGAAAAAATAGCTTGCCACAAATGTGTTTCACAGGTAGAAGGATGGTCTAGCCACAAAAGTACGCTCACTTTCAAATCATCCCCTTAAAGTCACCAGATTAATTCTAGCATTCCATTCCATTCTTAGCAATAAACATATTTAATATTCTTCTCTATTAGTAAATATTCCTCAACTGCATTTGAGCTATGATTTTATTTGGTGGTAGTGATATATGAACTTAAAACTTACAGTAGCGGTCAAAAATTTGGAAACATTCTTAGTAATTTTTAAAAAGTGCGCTAATTTTTTATTCTTTATTATTGAGGACTATTTTTTCTCATATAGTTTGCTTACAGTCTTGAGGTTACAAATATTAATTTGTGTTTGCTGTGGTACTAAAGACTAGCATTAAAATACCTTCATATTATTTTATGGCCGAAAATGTGACGACAAAAGTATGGAAACATTTTTTATTGCAAAATTAAATACAATAACTCTACAAAAAGATTAGTAGAAAAAATAGTTTTTAAAAGTTTTTCTTGTCAATTGTCTTTTAACATGCTCCCAGAGAAGTTCTATAGGGTTTAGGTCCGGGGATTGCGAAGGCCGTGTAAGGAAATTCCTTTTCGAATTTTGAGGTATGCTTGGGATCATTATCTTGCTGGAATGTCCATCATAAAGGCATTTCTTCTTCAGCAAAAGGGAGCATGTGTTCACTACGAATATCCTTGTAAAGTGTTTGATCCATTTTCCCAATAATTTTCAACATTGGACCCGTTCCAGAACTAGAAAAGCAGCCTCATGATATTGCTTCCACTGTGCTTAACTATTGGCAACTGATACTTTTTGTAGAATCTTTTTCGTTTCACATAATGCTGTAAGTTTGCTTTCATCGTTCCATAAAAGTGTATTCCATTGTTGTTCTGTCCAAGTTAGATGAGTTTTAGCAAATTTTTGCTCTGGATGCCTACCAAAAATCCCAAAATAAATACGGCAAAACTGAAATGATTCCATAGGTACTTTTGTCGTTACAAAAAATGTGCTATTTAAAAAAACGCATGTTTTTATTCAGAGTTAGGTATATGAAATACTTCATAATAATATTAATATTTGCTTCCAAACTTTTGTCCGCTACTGTAAGTGCTGTCTAAGTATATAGACGCTGGATAGATTTGATCATGAAAAATTATAATCAATAATTCTGTTTGTTATATTGTAATCTTTTCAAACGAACATCTTATATAGTGGAGAAAGACATTGTTAACAATTCATCGATTAAGGATATTAAAAATCACCAAATTATGCCTTCCAAAATACATAAATCATTATAGTAGATATTTGGTGTCTTAACATACAATCACATTAAGCTCACATGCAAGAATAGAAATATCAGGAACATCTGTCTATTGTCTTATTCTTATCTCTTGTTATCAAAATACACATCAATTTTATGTATATCAAAGTCAATTTATATATATATATAGGTGAAAAATAAAGCTTCCGCCTTTAGTTGGGTACTTCGACAAAATTCAAACAATGAGGACTCTTTATACTTTATTAGTCTCTAGCTTTCAATGGACTTTGCCATCTTCATCAGGAGCTGCAATAACATTGAGAAGAAATAGCAACTGTTGTGCAAAATACTAATAAAGTATAAAGAGTCCTCGTTGCTTGCATTTTGTCGAAGTACCCAACTAAAGGCGGAAGCTTTATTTTTCACCTAACTAGTCTAGACGACAATGGTCACGTCTCAAGTTATATATATATACAGGGTGGCCAAACACGTGACGTCATAAAAAAAAAATTAGATTCCCCACATCGAGAGGAACCCAAATCACCCCCATATATATGGTCCGATTTTGTTTAGTTTAGGAGATATGATTTTTTTTCGGATTTTTCGAGAATTTTTGAGTTCTGTGTTTATTTTTACCATAACTTCGTTAATAATTGTGATAAATGCCTGCTTTTTTCACGATTATGTAGCTAAGACCTAAGGCTTAACTATCATATAATCATTCAAGTCATGTAACTAATACTACTTTTTAATTTTTTTCAAAATCTTCGAACGTAACAAAAAAGTAAAAAAGTGCAACAACTTTGAACGTTTATAAAAAATTGAAAAAACATGTTCTTACTATTCGTAAGTATCTTAAAAACTTCCTTACGGTATCAGCTATTTACCGTAAAAATTTCATCAACCTAGCTTTACTACATGCTACCGTAATTGTGGCTCAAATAGAACCGAACCCAAAATTGGATAACCCTCTGCTCAATAGAAATTGTTAGTTTCGGAAAAAAAATTTGCAAAAACCACAAAAACACGTTTGATTTTTACTGAACAGCAGATTATTATTCATTTATGTTATTTACAAGAGGTTTTCAAAATGTCTGCCTCTAACAGAAATGCACAGTGTACACCTACGTATGAAATTTTGTTTTAAATCTCTAAATGCTTGTGTGTTGTTTTTCAACACATGTGTCGCTTCTTGAATTTTGTTCCTCAATGAATTTTCATTTGCACATTCTTGGGCGAATGTTGTGTCTTTAAAATATCCCCAAACAAAAAAATCAATGGGGTTGAGGTCAGGGGAGCGTGGAGGCCATCGTATCGGTCCGTTTCGTCCGATCCATCTGTCTGGGAACCTTTCGTTTAAGTAGTTTCGCACGATCGTTGCGTTGTGGCATGGTGCACCATCATTCTGGAACACCATGTTCCGTCTGGCTTCCAGGCTTGAATCTTCCAGCAATAATGGTAGGCTATTTTCAAGGAAGCTTTTGTAGGCTACCGAATCCAACCTTGACGGCAGTTCAAATGGACCGATAAATTCCATATTGAATATTCCTGACCACATGTTCACACTAAAACGGTGTTGAAATGTCGATGCATTATTATTATGGCGTTGCTCAAGGCAACGGCGCTTTAGCAGCTCAGCTGTACCGGGAACAACTTATACGCCGAGGCGGACCACAACCTGAGCATTACCCAGACCACCGTGTTTTTATTAACACACATAACACTTTCATGGCAGGCCGCATTCCAGGACGAGGAAGCAATGAAGGATATCCTACAGCTGATCCGGATCGCAGAGAAGTAGTACTTGAAGAAATTAGCCGGAATCCCTCAACGAGTACGAGATCTATGGCACAAAACCTTAGAATACCACGAACATCGATACAAAATATTCTTCATGAAGAAGGTTATCATGCCTATCATGTTCAAAGAGTTCAAGCGTTGATGCCTTCAGATTACCAGTTAAGAGTGGATTTCTGCGAGACAATGCTGCGAAGACAACGAGAGGATCCTGATTTTTTTGATAAAATTTTATGGACTGACGAGTCACGTTTTGAAAGAACAGGGATATTCAATATCCATAATTTACATACTTGGGCTGTTGAAAACCCCCACCAGTCAAGGCCGTCGACATTTCAACACCGTTTTAGTGTGAACATGTGGTCAGGAATATTCAATATGGAATTTATCGGTCCATTTGAACTGCCGTCAAGGTTGGATTCGGTAGCCTACAAAAGCTTCCTTGAAAATAGCCTACCATTATTGCTGGAAGATTCAAGCCTGGAAGCCAGACGGAACATGGTGTTCCAGAATGATGGTGCACCATGCCACAACGCAACGATCGTGCGAAACTACTTAAACGAAAGGTTCCCAGACAGATGGATCGGACGAAACGGACCGATACGATGGCCTCCACGCTCCCCTGACCTCAACCCCATTGATTTTTTTGTTTGGGGATATTTTAAAGACACAACATTCGCCCAAGAATGTGCAAATGAAAATTCATTGAGGAACAAAATTCAAGAAGCGACACATGTGTTGAAAAACAACACACAAGCATTTAGAGATTTAAAACAAAATTTCATACGTAGGTGTACACTGTGCATTTCTGTTAGAGGCAGACATTTTGAAAACCTCTTGTAAATAACATAAATGAATAATAATCTGCTGTTCAGTAAAAATCAAACGTGTTTTTGTGGTTTTTGCAAATTTTTTTTCCGAAACTAACAATTTCTATTGAGCAGAGGGTTATCCAATTTTGGGTTCGGTTCTATTTGAGCTACAATTACGGTAGCATGTAGTAAAGCTAGGTTGATGAAATTTTTACGGTAAATAGCTGATACCGTAAGGAAGTTTTTAAGATACTTACGAATAGTAAGAACATGTTTTTCCAATTTTTTATAAACGTTCAAAGTTGTTGCACTTTTTTACTTTTTTGTTATGTTCGAAGATTTTGAAAAAAATTAAAAAGTAGTATTAGTTACATGACTTGAATGATTATATGATAGTTAAGCCTTAGGTCTTAGCTACATAATCGTGAAAAAAGCAGGCATTTATCACAATTAATAACGAAGTTATGGTAAAAATAAACACAGAACTCAAAAATTCTCGAAAAATCCGAAAAAAAATCATAACTCCTAAACTAAACAAAATCGGACCATATATATGGGGGCGATTTGGGTTCCTCTCGATGTGGGGAATCTATTTTTTTTTTATGACGTCACGTGTTTGGCCACCCTGTATATGATCTGGTACACTACATTGAGGTATCGTGGGAAATAGTGTACTCATATCTTTCATTTAGGATGTTACTTCTAATGACTGGTATATTCTTCAAAAATATATTTTTGTTGAATGATATTTTACTTCAGCAGTAAAATAAAAATGTAATATAATGGTGACTTTTTTCCAGGTGCTAAATAGGTCGATGGACTCGAAACCGTACGATCCGGTCCCCCTGCTGGCTCAACTGCCGTTGCCAGTGGCCCCTTTCTTGCCACAGCGGATCATCACTTCTGGCACCAGCAAAGACTGCATTCGACTTAGGGGCCTGCCGTACGAAGCGCAAGTCGAACACATACTCGAGTTCCTTGGAGATCATGCCAAAAATATCGTATTCAGGGGCGTGCATATGGTGTATAATGCACAGGTAAGACGATCAAAATTTTTTTCGTTTGGACAATTGCTTATTGGTGGCTAAAAACGGATATTATACAGGGTGATTCACATGGCCTGACTAAAAATGAAACATCATACACAGGACCGCATTTTAAGGGGGGTCTTTTATGTAACATTTCTTCCTGGAATTTGTTTTTTTTTTATTTTCACGAAAACAATGCTCTCTAGGAAAAAAAAACACTAGTGGACATTAATTTTAAATAAAGATTTTTGAATGCGTACAATCTTAGGTAAATCCACAGAAAAAAATTTAGGTCATTCCAGTTGACGATTTTGAAGATATTAAAAAAAATTGTTTTTTATTTTTAAACTTCAACACCTCGTATCTTTTTAATGAAGTACTCGCGGAAAAAATGTTACAGAGAAGACACCCCTTAAAATGCAGTACTGTCACTACTTGTGAATCAGCCTGTATAATCAGCTGTGATTTTTTTGTTTGTTCGGATACTAGACTATCCGTAGCTAAGTTTTTCTCGAAATCGTTGCATAATACTTAAAAATATACAAATGAAGATTAGAAAACTGCCGCATTGACGTTCTAAATGAGTCCGTCGTTACCCCGAGATAGACATACGTTTTGAAACTTGATCTTGTCATTCTTGTCACCTGAATTGCGGCGTTGCCAGCTGCTAGGACGATTTCGCTACCTCTGCTGTCACCAATTCCTTGGACCTTTTGTTCGAGGCCTTGCTAATAGTTTTGAGATTTTTCAAAAATGAATGTAAGTACATAAGAATACTTACAAGAACGTTAGATTAGTGCACGTTTCTGTAAATTTCTTTTTATAATAATGTATTACAGGGTGGCCAAGATAAGGGTCAGACTAGGTTAAACTCAGTTACAGACAATCTTACATAAATCATTTGTTTGCAACGCCTACTTAAATATAATGAGAAATTAGAAAAAAAACATCTTTGTTTGTAACTAAAAAACAAATGTAACGTGATACATCGTTGAAGTCGTAGAAAAAGCTGCTATTAGATACAGTGTAGCACTTTTTTTAAAAACACCATCACTGACAGGTTGGCGACAGCTGTTCGAACGCTACCAGTTGAATGTTGTTACATGTAGTCAGGAGCCAAGGGGGTTTTTGATTTTGTTTGCCTGAAAATTGCTTTAAATGATACTAAAAGAGAGATATATTGTAATCGTCGAATATTTTCTTACCTGAATACAAATATTTTTTTGGTCACTGGCACTACAGGTAGAATTTGGGACAAACCGCGTACGTAAAAGTTCTCAAAAATGTTTAACCTATACTAGCGAGCCACCTGAACAGAAGCACCATATAATAATACATCACACGTTTCGCCCTATGGCGACAGCAGTCTAGACATCAGTGTCGCCAATAGGCGGCAGTGGCGTTGAACGTGTCAAACAGAACAGCTGATTGAGGACGGTTATATTTTCAGATTTATTCAGTTTTGCTTTGATGTTCAATTTTGTTCCAGGGTCAACCCAGCGGCGAAGCCTTCATCCAAATGGACTCCGAGCAGTCCGCGTTCGTTGCTGCCCACCTAAAACACCATCACTACATGACCTTCGGCAAGAAGCAGCGCTACATCGAAGTATTCCAGTGCTCGGGCGAGGACATGAACCTGGTGCTGACCGGAGGGTTGCCCCACCCTCGGGTGGTGTCGCCGGCGGCGGCCCCGAAGCCGCCCGCTACGGCCGCAGTACGCGCCGCACAGGCGCACGCAGTGGCCGCCGCAGCCGCCCACGACATGCTCAGCCTCGGTATGTTGCCCACCCCCGCGACCCAATCCGCACCACCCACCACTGCTAACTTGCCACCGCCCCCTCCTAACAGCGGCGCCCCTCAGACCGCGCAATCCTGGGAAAACCCGGCTTTGTTTGCACAACAACAGGCTCAGATCATTGCGCAGCAGAATCTGTTCGCCAGGCAGAGCCAGGCTCAAGCGGCGCAAGCGCAACAGAACGATTTCATGTTCATGAATCAGCTGATACAGCATAATATCGCGATATACAATCAACAGCAGCCTGGTGGTCAGACCGCCGTCGCTACTAACGCGGTCCAAATGAATCAAATGCTCAAATCCCAGGCAGCTTCGGTGCCTATGATGTCCCCGTTGATGCCCAGCCCGTACATGATGTTCCAACCTAGAATTCCGTTAACTCTGCAAAGACCTCCGCAGCTAACCTACCAGCAGCTAATGCAAGGGCAAACGCCCGGCGTTATACCGATGGCTGCTATGCAACATATGCCTGTCAAAAGGAGCTATGGAGATGCTTTTCCCGAGCAGGCTACGCCTGCTAAAAGACCATTCGTACCAGCTACTACCTTACCCGCGGTTTACCCTCAGTTCTATTCCAACATGTAAACTTCCGATGCTCAGAAATTTCAGTTTTTTTGAGATAAATGAACATAACCAACCTGCAGAATAGTCTAATCATATTAGACGAAAATACCCCTGGAAATAATTGTAAAGTCTGGTTTTATTGCTGCAAGTTGTTCAATTGGGTATTTATAACATGGACGCATGAAATGGGTACACCAATTTTTGTGCGAAAACTTTTTATTAGACAGCAAAGAGAAAACGTGTTTTTTGGGATTCAATCGAAAGTTTTGGCATGAACGAAAAAATTCCATATAAGACTTTTAGGTATTTAAGAGACCTGCAAAATGGGACCACACGTAAAAAGGTTCGAGGCAAACCCACAAATACGAAATGTTTGAATTTGTTTAGAAGAAACCTTTGTTTTTCGCATAAAAATAACATTTATCTTCCGGAATGGTTTGTGATTCATAACGGCAAGGTAACAGGTGTATTTTGCTATCAAATGCTCTTTGAACGAACTCTATATTTTGCTCAAAAAACTAGTAGTGATGGCCGGAAAACAGCTGTTTTGGAATAAGCAATTAGAAATTCTCAAAAACTACTTGACCAATACGCTCCAATTTTATTGTTGTCATTTAGAAGTATCAATCCTACGAATTTGAAGAATTTCAAGTAGTTGCGTGAAATTATCGTGTCATTACCAACAAGTGCCAAAACCTGCATTTCGCCTCGTTTTTCGGCCATAACATTTTTGCTATTAGTCGGATCTTTTTACGTGTGGTCTCATAAATACCTAAAAAACTTATATTCAAAGTTTTTTCGTTCCTGTCAATACTTTTGATTGAATCCCAAAAAACACGTGCTCTCATTCTTTGGTGTCAAATAAAAATTAGTGTACCCATTTTATGCGTCCATGTTTTAAATGCCCCCTTTAACAACTTGCACCAATAAAACCAGACTTTACCATTATTTCGGGTAAATTTGCTAATACGATTAGACTGGAATGTTATGGAAAGTTATCAGGAAAAATGAAGGTGAAATACATCACGTTACATATGAAACAATTTCGTATAAATATAGGTCCACTTATCGAAAACAAATTGAGATCAGTTTTGATCCACCTATTATCAAAGGCCACACTGGCCACCATGCAGTTATCGAACTCTAACGATAATCGATAAAACAATTTTTTGATAAAAACCGATGATTTCTTTAAAAACTGATTTTTTGCGTATACATAGAGTTGAATCTATCTACAATAAACCAAAATTATAATGAAATATCTTAATGGAATTGAAAAAGAAAATTTCGATTAATTAGTTATAACCATTATTTATTTTCTTATACATGTTTGTATATGGATAGACTGTGATACTCCTTCCTCTATCACTTTTAACTTAAACAAAATCTTCCAAACAAATCAAAACTTAATAACTTCTTGCTTACAATTTTTAGACTCTTGAATGTAATCGTAACGTAACTCCATTCCATAAACGATTTAACCAAATTACAAGTAGTAAAAAATAATAAACCAAGCTAAATCTTGATGGTGACCAGTGCATCAGTTTGTAACAGATTTATCTATTTCGGGCTTTTGCGCGTTTATTAACACAACTTGATTTCAGGATAATTGACTTTATTCTGTCTAAAAATGTATATATTGATAGGTACTGCAAGGTAACGCGGTCATTCCTCGGCCCAGCGCGGCATTTCCGGTGGATTATCTTAGTTGCAATACCCAACAAGTTTGTTTGTTTAAGATTTATTTAGCATGATTGCTACAATTACATTCTTCTAAAAAACTAAACAATTACATAACATACAGATATTCAGAAAAAAATAAAATTTGCATCTCTAAGAATTTTCATTGTCCATGAAATATTCCTTTAATTTTCTTTTAAATATCTTTGAATTACAAGCAGACTTTATATCATTATTTAGTTTATTAAATTCAAGTAATCCTTTCTGAAATATTGATTTGCTAGCTATATTACTATTGCAATTTTGTAAATGAAAATCTATGTTCCCTCTTGTATAATAATTGTGGTAATGATTATTCAATTCAATGTAGTGTTCTAAATGTTCTGGCAAAAGATGAATTTTATTTTAAATATAAAAATAAGAACCAAATATGATATCAAATTTTTTATATTCAACCACTGCAATTCTTGTAACATAGATTTTATTTTGGTGTACTTATTTTTATTCAATATTATTCTCATAGCTTTATTTTGCAAGACTTGTAATTTTGAGAATACAGCTTCATTGGCAGTGAAAAAGATAGTTGAACAATATAGTAGAATAATTGTATTGATAAACTATTTTCTTGAAATAGGTACCAAGACTATGAGAAGCCCTATAAAAGTAATTAGTATTTTTTGGCAATTTTTGAAATAATCTATTCATAGTGATCCTCAAACTTTAGTTTACTATCAATATATATACCTAAATATTTAATTGATTCAATATTTTCAATTATTTCTCCATTTATCCTGTGATAGTATAGGTATTTCCCTATAAGCATACATTTTGTTTTAGAAGTATTCAATTTTAGTTTATTTACATTTAACCAATTTACGAATTTTGTCAAGTCAGAATTCAGCATTTTTAAATCAGTGTCTATATTTTCATCTGATATGTATATTAATGTATCATCTGCAAATATCTGAAGTTTACAATAATCTAAAATATTACAAATGTCATTAATGTATCAAATAAATAGTAGTGATCCTAGTTTACTACTTTGTGGTATAGCAACAGAAATATTTTTTGATCTTGAAAATGTAGATGCAATTTTGTTTTTTGACTTCTGCCAATTAAATAGTTTTGTATAATTTTAAATACAGATCCTTAAAATCCGTAGTGATGCAATTTTGTACGTAATTTATCCCTGTCAATGGTCTCAAACGCCCTTTTAAACTCCCAAATACACTGTTACTGTATTATTCCGATTGTCTATACATCTCCTCCAGTCCTCTACAATCAACATCTGGCAGAACATTTATTGGCCGCATATTGGTGTACAACTCAGAATTCTTAACTTTAGAAACAGGAGTTATGGTAGTTTCTGATAACAATATATCTTGCCATACTACAAATTTGTTTAACGTTATTAAAAAATAGTCATCAGGTTGAAAGTGACGAAACGCTTCCAGAGACAGGAATGGTGGACCGCTTTTTATATTAACTTTTTCATAGTCTTACGTGTTTGATGTGCAGCTAAATTTTCCTGGTAACATTCTGTAACATCTAGCTCTTTAAACTGAAACAGCCGGAGGATGAAATAAGTATAAATATGAAGATTCCTTTAAACTGGTGCTAAAACAGGACAGCGGTTCTTTCATAAAATAATTATAGTGACGATATTTTTCTACAAACTTGTTGTTTATAGCCAAAAATATTTTGGGAGTGATTTTACATTCCAATATACATATATCATGTGTAATTTTGACAATCTAGTTACTTATTAGATTGATGCCTTCTGATCGTGACAATACAAGTAGATTATAAGATATATACAGCATATATTGACAATTTTTGATAGATATTATTTTAGTTAGTGTAGCTACTACAAAATAAACATATTAAAATTATTGTAATAATTATTCGTACTCATTTTTTCATAATTGTGTATAGCTGTTAATCCTTAACGTATTCATATCGACTAGAATCGTTATATGTTTGATACTCAAAAATCAATTGATTGATTGAATTATTCTAAAATACCGTGCCTTCAATGAATTTTTCAATTTATATATTTTGAATATATAATATTTGATTATGAAAAAAAAACACTAAAAATGACTTTAAAAGTACTTAGTGACAATGACTATAAGCTCAAATTATCGAAGTACTTAATAGATAGTGTTGTACCAAACATGATTTTGAAATCAAGAATATTTTCTGAAATTACTTTTGACGTAGGTAATTTTGAAATAAGCAGAATCTATGACGAGATTTGCGGCTTCGTGGTAATGTTTTTTTTTAAGACTGACAGCCGGGTTTTCCAGTTGTTGGGGTCTATTATTGAGTCCGATATCTCCCTTATTACACATACCCCAAGCCTCTAACAATCCCCAATGTTAGTTTGAAAGACTGCAATAGTTTTAACTAATATGTGATTATGAAGCATTCCAACATGTTGCTACATTCATACGTATATACGTTACATTATATTTTTGATTTTTAAAGTATATATATTTACGTTACTTTTGGAAGCACCTTTTTCATGTTAAGCTTTTTGTTATAACAAAAATGTCTGCGACTAATATTATAGATGGATTGGGTACTTGAGAATATTGAGCCAAAACAACATGAGAGATATTATCTATTTTTGAGGGAAAAATGTTTAATGCTGTCTTCTTCTAACACTCTGCTGATACAGAGAGTAATTGTCGTATCTCTGACATTGTTGTTTTGGCACAGTCTTCTCTGTTA